GAGGAGGAGGAGGAGGAGGAGGAGGAGGAGGAGGAGGAGGAGGAGGAGGAGGAAGAGGAGGGAGGGAGGGAGGGAGGGAGGGAGGGAGGGAGGGAGGGAGAGAGAGAGAACCCCAAACTTCTTCTATGAAACCAGTATCACTCTAATATCAAAACCAGGTAAAGACAACAACAAAAAGACTCAGCTACAGAACATAGACCCCCAAAATGCTCATTAAAATACTTGTAAATAGGGCTGGAGAGATGGCTCAGAGATTGAGGGCACTGACTGCTCTTCCAGAGGTCCTGAGTTCAATTCCCAGCAACCACATGGTGGCTCAATACCATTTATAATAAGGTCTGGTGCCCTCTTCTGGTATGCAGGCACAACTCTATGTACATAATAAATAAATAAATAAATCTTTTTTAAACATACTTGTAAATAGAATACAAACATACATTTAAAAGATTGCAAATGGATCTAGAGAGATGGCTCAGCAATTATGAGCACTTGTTGCTCTTGCAGAGGACCCAGATTCAATTCCCAGCACACGCTGGTTCACAACCATCTGTAACTTCATTTCCAGGGTATCTGATGCCCTCTTATGGCCTCCATGTCCACCAAGCATGAATGTGGTGCACAAACAGATATGCCAGCAAAATACATATAAAATGAAATGAATAAATCTAATAAAAACGCTAAAAACATTTTTAAAAAGATTATACATCTGAGTAAATTGGCTTTATCCCTGAAATGCAGGGATGGTCCAACATACACAAGTCAATAAATGTAATACATGAATGGACTTACAGACAAAAATCACATGATTATCTCATTAGGTGCAAAGAAAGCCTTTGACAAAATCCAACACTCTTGAGTACTCATAGGAGGCATTTCTTGCCCTGTGTGTGACCTAACATCTTTGTATCTATTAGGTTTATACAAACAGCGCTAGTCTCCACTAAACAAAAGACTAAGATTGCATCTGATGCCTATATCGGAGATTTTCTTTTTCTGGAACATATTTACCTGATGTTTCTATGGAGTGTTGTGTTTGTAGTGTGGTATCCAGCAAAAAAGACTGCTCAGACATAAGTTTAAGCCAATTTAAAAAAAAAAAAGTCTTTATTAGCCGGGTCTTTGTTACACTAGGTGTTTGGGATTCTAGTGTAGCACCGAGTCTTTCTCAGGGTGAGCTTTTAAACCCAAAAACCATATCCTGGTGACATTCTTCAGTTAACAAGAACAGCTAGCCAGAGGAGAGCTACAGAAGTCAAAAGGCAAGGCTTGTACGTTTAAAGACTTTGCCAGAACTACAGACTTTGATGGGTTAGGTCTTCGTTTTCATTTTGTTTTTTTGTTTTTCGAGACAGGGTTTCTCTGTGTAGCCCTGGCTGTCCTGGAACTCACTCTGTAGACCAGGCTGGCCTCGAACTCAGAAATCTGCCTGCCTCTGCCTCCTAAGTGCTGGGATTAAAGGCGTGCGCCACCACCGCCCGGCTCGTTTTCATTTTGGCTAGTGGTTCTGTCTATATGCTGAGTTTTGTGGCTTGAATGGTACTTCCACCATGAAGTCGGTTGTGCTAAGATCTGGGAACCTGTCACATGCTTTATGATTTTCTTTGTTACTGCAATAACCTCATGAAACAGTTACCATATTTTCATATGGAACTTGCAGTTCTGTTTTCGTGGGCCATAGTCACTCATTTTGGCTCGAGAATATTCTCAATCTCTCTCTGACACAGTCTCATTATTTAGGCTAGCCCTGAACGCAGAGATCTGCCTGCCTCTGCCTCCTGAATGCTGAGACTAAAGGCGGAGCGGCACCGAGCCTAGGCTAAGGCTAAAACAAGAAGTGGGGAGGAAGGGAGGAAGGAAAGTAGGGAGGAACAGGAAAGAGGAACGGAGGAATGGGAGGGAAGGAGAGAGATGGGGTGGGGGTTAAGATTTAGATCAGGCTTGGCGGACAACTGTGTGCTGCCATGTGAGAGCTCGGAATCCAACCTGCGTCCTCTTCAAGAACAATCCTCAAGCCATTTCTCCAGCTCCGAGAATTTTATCTCTGTCCAAGGTGGCTGGGACCCAAATCTCCCCGGCTTCTCGCCAGGACGGAAGAGGAAGTGACGCCTGCATAGACCCAATTTCTTTCCTACCGATGGCTGCTATCCTGTAGTTCGAAGTGTCTTTCTTCACCTCCGGTCCATCTTTACGTCTAGAGAGTCGCCGAGTCGGGGTGGGGGTGTGACGGCGGCCGTGGAGGGTCAGTTTAAGGCGTGGCTGTGTGTGCAGCTCGCCGAGAGGCGGTCCCCGTAGGCCCGAAGCCTGGGACGGGCGGGTCTCACGGGCACCCCGCCTCCCTCCGGTCGCTGCGAATGCTCTCCGAGCTTCCATCTGCTCGCTCGCCCTCTGCAGAAGCCTCCCTAGCCGCCTTCCAGGTTCCTCTTCCAGCACAGAACCCTGCCACGAGCTATCGCTCTGCAGCTGCAGCCGCAGCCGCCGCCTCCACCGCACAGCCCAGCGATTGTGGAGCTCGGGTGAGCGCCCCAGGCTGTGATTTGTTCTTGCAGAGTGTGGCTTTGTCTTTGCCATCGTTTGATTAATTCTGCCACATGACATCCGGGTAGAAAAAGTATTCTTAGGTATCTAGGAGTAAACGTTAACATTTAGAGGTGAATCTTTATTATTTGGCTTTTCCAGAACTCGCTAGATAGACCCGGCTGACCACAACTCCTGGAGATCCGCCTGCCTCTGCTGGGATTAAAGGCTTTTGCCACCGCCTGCTAAATGTTTATTTCCTTAATCTTTCCCTTTCTTCCTCCCTTCCTTTTCCATGCCTTTCCTTCCTCCCTCTCTCCATTTCCTTTCTCTTTCTTCACCTCTTGACTTTACTGCTAGTAAAACTGCTCATTCAGTGAGCTACTCACCCTTGCCCTGCGTGGTTTGTACATAAATGTACAGATACTGTGTGATTATGGCTTTCTACTGGTGAAAATAGGAGTACTCTGCTCTCTTCATTTGAAGTTTCTAGGCTGTACATGCTTATAGAGTTTCAAAGGAGGCGGGGGGAATTACCGTGATTCAGAGGTCGGAGATCAATTTCCAAGCGTTGTTTCTCACTTTCCGCCATCTGGGTGCTGGAGACCAGGCTTTCTGGCTTGGCCTTTACTCACTAGTTCTTCTCCATGGCGTCTGTTTGTTCTCTAAAGTAGGGTCTCATGTAGCTCAAGCTAGCCTACACCTTGCTATGTAATTGAGGCTGACTCTGAACTCTTAATACTCCAGACTTTACCTCTCAGATGTTGGAATTTTTGGTGTCTAGACATCATGCCTGACCCTATAGAAACTTTTGAAGAGTCTCAAGTTCTTTAAGAAAGTCTTAGGTTTTGCTATTTCTGATTGAAATCAAATGGTATATTTAAAAATTTGTGTATTTCTCCTCCCCTCCTACCCCCATGCACTTAGAGTAGCTCCAAAGGAGAGGTTGAAAACTGCAGTAATTGTTGATAGTAAGTACCATGTGCTTCTGGGCCATGTGGTCTGGAATTACTCAGTTCTACTTTAGTAACTTTGTCCATGGTTATCCTATGATGTCTGGTCATGAGTCACAGCTGTTTCTCAAAAGCAGAAAAAGAGGGCATTGTGCCTTGAGTGTGGTGTGTAGCTCAGTGGTAGTGGACTTACTTGGCATGCATGAGGCTCTGAGTTTAGCTTCCAGTTTGCTTAGGTTTGCTTTAAACTACCAAGAAGGCTAAGCCGTTGTCTGGCATTTTGATATCTTTGGATCTGCTGAGTGACTCAGACCAAGTGCTTGAAAACATTGTATTATATGCTTTAAAATTTTTTATTTACTATTTTTGTATAGACATGTATGGTAGGTGTGGCTGTGCATGTACCATAGCCACATACATGGAGACCAGAGGACAACTTTGTGGACGCCGTTCTTTATTTTGTGGGTTCTGGAGGGTGAATTCAGGTCTTTGGGCTTCTGTTGAAAGCTCCTTTGCTTTCTGAGCTCCCTGCTACTATAGTTGGCGACTGGAGTGCATTGGATGGCCCTGTAGATGACTGTAGATTTGTTAAAGTACATTCAAATCTTAAAAATGTTGCAGTCAAAATTCAAATATCGGTTGAGCGTTATACTCCATTTTGGTTGGTGTAGAAGGCAATAACCTGAATGAAATCTTCACATGAATGTCTTCACATGACCATCATTGAACCTTTAGAAAAATCTCAGCCCTAAATCTCCACTTTACATTTTTTAACTATACTTTCATATTTGTGTGTGCACACAGAGATGCCACAACAGACACGTGGGGGTCAGAGGACAACTTGCACTTCCCTCCTGCTATTTTGAATCCTGGGGAATTGAACTCCAGTCAGCTGTTTTACTAGCCTGTCTCCCATGGTGGGGAAGGGAGAAAGGGGGTGGTGTGATTGGTGTGTTTTACTTTTTGAACAAAGTCTCTCTATGTAGCTTAGAGAGGTTTTGTTTGTTTGTTTGGTTGGTTGGTTGGTTGGTTTGGTTTGGTTTGGTTTTCGAGACAGGGTTTCTCTGTGTAGCCCTGGCTGTCCTGGAACTCACTCTGTAGACCAGGCTAGCCTCGAACTCTCGAACTCAGAAATCCACCTGCCTCTGCCTCCCAAGTGCTGGGATTAAAGGCGTGCACCACCACCGCCTGGCTAGAAAGGTTTTGATATCATGATCTTCCTACTGTGGTTTCCTTACTGCTGGGATTGCAGATGTGAGTTACCATGCGTAGCTTTTTGCTTTTGTTGTGACAGGGTCTCCATGCGTATCCTTGCCTGGGTCAGAACTGGATAGGTAGATAATGGTCACCTGGAACTCACAAAGATCTGCCTGCCTCTTTCTCCCCAGTCACACAAAGGTGTTATAGAATTTTGAAAATGTTAAGTCATCAAGTCCCGTCAACGCAGTGTTAACACAGTTTGCCTGTAGCTGTTTTACGGTCTGTCAAGTTCTCTGGGGACTGTGTACTGGTATAAAAAAGAGGATTAGACAGCTAAGAGAGGTAGTGTTGTAAAGATGTGTTTGCTCATCTTGTCAGGTCAGTGGAGACTGCTTTCTACTCATTATAAACGAGAATGGAGAAAATGACATGACCTGCCCTACTGAAGACCAGTGGAAGCCATGTGTGGTAACAGAGGCCACTAATTGGGGCAACTCAGAAAATAAGGCAGAGAGAATCACGAGGCTAGCCTGGGCTACATAATGATGTCTCAAAACAAAACAGTTGGTGTGAGCACCTGCCTGCGTTCAGTTACTGGTTGCTTTACTTCAAGACTCAGGGAATTTTGCACTGGCTGGTGAAACTTTCTAAAGTTTCAGTGCTGTAGGTCAGGTAAGGACAATGGTCAATTGTGTTGACTGCGTTAAGGCGCATGATGGTTGTACCGAGTCTTTCATGTTGGTGTTTATGTTTAAACTCCTCAGGAGCACTTTTGTTACGACTGGTTTATTGATCATGTGAGTAGAGACTGCTAAGACCTCCCTTCCTCCAAACTCCCCCAGATGCCCATCATTGCTCTCTCAAATTTATCGCTTCTTGTTACATCATATATAAATGTGTGATGTCTCCAGCAGTAGGGACTTCCTTCCACCTCTGAGGGGCAAGCAAGGGCAATAGCAATAGCCTGTATGTTCTACAAGTCTCTAGGACAACCCAACCAACAACTCAAAAGAAGGCATCGCATGTCTTTTGTTAGGTGCTCTTTGGTTCTTGGAGCAAGCATTGTCAGCCCAGATGAGAAATGTACTACAGACAATTTAAACTTATCTCCAACTAGCTTACAAATAAATGAAACTCAGACTATGGTTATTTTATTTGGCTTTGATCCCTCATCTGTTTTCCTAACTGCTGGCCTGGCTACATCCCCAGTGCTATTCCCCAAATGCTAGCTGTTTCTTCTGGCCATGTGCTCATGGTCCATCTCCCCTCATGACACTTCTTCCTCTCTCTCCCTTGGTCTTCCTCCTTCTCCTTCTGCCACCCACAACCAGATAACTCAAACCCGCCTACCTCCATCCCTCCAGTAATTGGCTGTAGCCATTTTTATTTAACCAATAGTTTTGAATTAAGGAACAGGGTGCCTACAACAAAAGCTGGCAAATGTGAGAATTCACTTGTAGGCTTAGACCTTTGGGTACAAAATTTAGCATTACAGTACATAGCAACAGATCAAATTTTTTGAGATCTCAACAGAGAAATTTTCATTTTAACTATATATGTACATGTGTATACAGACTTACATGTATTACAGGATTTTTAAGGTAAGTAGTTAATATTATGATTCCTTATAACATTTTCAGACATCCTTACTGTTATTTTGCCCTCCTCCCTCCTTGTGTATTTCCTCCCTCCCTCCTCCTAGTTAAAGCTCCTCCCCCTCCCATCTCAGATCACTTACACTCAGTTACTCTCCTCTAGTATTGCCCCACACTCCTGACTCTGGCAGTGGTCCTTTCTACATTCCTGCCTTCTGCAGTTTCTCCAGGTTGTATACTCACATCTGAATGAAGATTTGGAGCTAGGAGCCTCAGATAAGAGAGAACATGTGTCTTTCTGGGTCTTGTACCTCACTCACTGTGATCCATCCGTTTACCTGCAAACTTCATGATTTTGTTTTTTTCTTCACAGCTGACTCGTATTACATAAGTTATGTGTACCACATTTTCACTATGCATTTGTTGGTTGAAGGACACTTAGGGTTGTTTCCAGTTCCCAGCAATTGTGCTATAGAGCAGTGGTGAACATGGTTGAACAGGTATCTGTGGAGTAGGATTTCAAGTCCTTTAGGGACGTGCCAAGGAGTGGTATAGCTGGGTCATATGGGAGATTTACTTTAGCTTTTTGAGAGTTCTCCATGCTTGAGCCTGGCAATGATGTCACACACCTTTAATCCTAGCACTCGGATAGCAGAAGCCATCCTGGGCTACAGAGCAAGTTTTAGGACAGCCAGGACTACACATAGAAACTTTATCTTGAAAAAAAAAAAAGGATGGAAGTGGGGTTGATTCTCCACACTGATTTCCACAGTGGCTCTACCAATTTGCAATCCCACCAACAGTAAAAGAAGGTTCCTTCTCCTCCCCCCCTCCCTGTTCAGCATTTGCTGTTGGTTAATCTTGGTCATCAACGATGGTTTTATTTAGTTTTCTCTAACTGCTAGTGATGATCACCGTTTTTGAGATGTTTCTTTCTTTTGTTCTTTTGAGAATTCTGTTCAGATCCCAGGTCCATTTTTTTGAGTGGGTCATTTGTTTCTTGTTTTGTTTTATTTGTTTTTTGTTTGTGTATGTTTCTCTCTCTCTCTCTCTCTCTCTCTCTCTCTCTCTCTCTCTCTCCCTCTCCCTCTCTCAGCTCTTTATATATTCTGGATAGTAATCCTTTGTCAGATGTACAGCAGGCAAAGATTCTCTTCTCTCCCATTTTGTGGACCATCTGGAGATAGTTTTTGGGCAGGGTGGTAGATAGGGGTCTAATTTTGTGCTTCTGCATGTGGGCATCCAGTTTTC